GTTTGCCGGTAAAGCTGCCTATACACCGGCAAGATGGAGATCCCGTCACGTCCTTGACGCATACGCCCTCGTTGTCGCAGAAGCCGTCGCACGCGTCGGTGCATACTTTGCCGGTGCCGTTAAAGCCAGGTTTGCACTCGCACCGGAAGTCGCTGGTTTCGGGAATGAGCAGGCAGTAGGCGTTCGGATCGCAGTGCATTTCTTGGCCTTTCAGTTCGCATGGATTCGTACATTCGGATTTGGATTTCTGCAAAAAATATGATTAGAAAATTCTAGAACATTTTCAATGAACATCTTCATCATCAATCATTTTTTTTGCACACAAGGTGGTGCCTTTCATACGACGCGGAGACTTCAAGTAGAACATACATAGCGTTGTGAGTATATATAGGTCAATTGAGAGCATTTTACGAAAATATACAGAGTTCTACAGGGCGTCCTCAAAAAAAGTTACGAATCATATAAATAATAAAGATCTACTGACACTAAATTATAAAAATGAAAATATCTAGGAAAATCTTTGTTTGAGGGGTAGGCAGCCTTAATTAATATATTTTGAAGAGACATACATTTTCCATTGAATATCGGAATAATATACCGGGTGTTCTATTTAAAATAAAAGAGAAACTTGCTTTTAAAGGTGATCAATGTTCAATATTAATTTTGTCTCACCCTGTATGACTTTTTGGGTCGAGTTTTAATTTGGTTTAAAGTAAAATAGTTACTTTAACGACTATATTAGGCTATACCGGGTAAATTCCAATTAGGGTAGCTTTTATTGAAATTTAAAATTTGTTCTTCATCTTTAGGAAATGTTAAATATGTATGTCAAAAACCCTCTTTCATGAAACTCTCCTTTATTTTTCTCTTAGAATCCGAAAATCAATTAATATATAGGGTGTTCCGTTACAAAAAATACAACTTTGATGTGTAATTTTTTTGGGGACACCCTGTAGAAGTATACATTTTTAAAAAATGCTCCAAATTAACCTACATATACCTACTCACAAAAATTAATTTCAATAAAAACTGTCGTTCTTATTGGAGCCTCCGTGTTGTATGAGATGCGCGACCCTGTATATAGAAAAGTGCAGATTTCATAGCCATCGCTGACGCCGTTTTTTTTTCGATATTATTGTACTTAATTTTTAATTTATTACTATTGTTGAAATGTAATATTTTAGGCCTTGGAGCCAGTACTTGTATACTGATTATAGAGGTCCTGGTACTTACTGAGGCAGTGTTTTTGGTACTGGTGTTGGGTGGGCATGGAATACAAGTCGTTTGCTGTGTTTCTGGCTGGTAGAATCCTCTCTTGCACTGAATGCAACTGTTCAAAGTACCGTTCAAATAGGTTCCAGCAGCACATACAGGTAAAGTACATTCTTCAATTGTGATAGCACCGGATTTTGGTGATGTCCTTCCAGGAGGACAGCTAACACAAGCTGCTTGATACCCTTGAGCTCTGTAAAAAAGAAAAAATAAACAAAAAAAATATAAAAACTGTAAAAGGAAATAAAAAAGTAAAACAAAAAAATGAATGAATAACAACAACAAACCTGAAGGTTCCTCTAGGACATGGCTCGCAACGACCATCCAGAGCCAGTTGTTGTCCATCACCACATTCATCTCTGCATTCTTTCGAAGAGACAGCCTCATTGGTCCTTGTGGTTTTGCCCAATCCACAAATCTGGCACGAGAACGAGCCTTCTTCCGGTTGGTAGAAGCCGTGACCGCAGGATCGGCACAATCCGGCATCGTGGTCGTAGAATTTACCAGCTGGGCATCGTTCTAAAAGAAATCACGGTAAAATATCCGTCATTCGCATAGATTTGATAATTTTTGACTAAATGGCGAATGCGCCAGGAATTGATTGACAATTATTATTTATTAGTTTTGTTTTGAGATATTTGTGGCATTATTAAGTAGTGTATTGTAGTTTTTAGTGATTTAATAAATTAATTAAGTGTGTTTGATGGGTTTTTACCTTTGCAATCCGCTGCGCTACGTGCTCCTAGACCTATAGTTACTCCTGGACGTCCGGCAATGACTGGACATTCAATGCATTGAGACTGTCCAGCCTCGCTTTGGTAGGATCCTTGTGGACAGGGTAGACAAGTTTTGGTGTCTTTGTTGTAGAAAGTTCCAATGGCACATGGGACTGAAGAAAAAACGTTTAAATATATGTATAGTTAATACTTGAGAGTCATTTTATATTACTATAGCCATTTGAGTGGCTATAGTATTAAAAATTAGTGGTCAATGAATTTTTGAATGAATGCACATAAGGCATTAAAAAGTTTTTTTTAAATAATTCCTTGAAAATGTGTAAAGAAAAAGAAAATTGCAAAAAAAAATAAAATATTCAACAAGTTTTGTTGAGCTTGTGACACCCTGTATGTATAATATATTACAAAAAACAGAATTAAAGAACATGGAATTACTCTATCCATTATATAGTTTCCATAGTATAGTATTATATAGTCACGAAAAATAAAGAATAAATAACCTGCAAAATAAATTCAAATGTATTCTGTTATTAACAAAAAAAATACTTTTAAATTTGTAAAATAGAATTTGTATCTAGTTATATCAAATGTCCATGAACTAACTAAAATGACCTGTAATTGACCCCATTTTTAATTACAATCGAATAAAAAATTATAAAAATTCAAATATGTTTAACATTAAATACGCATTATTGTCTATATTAAAAAAACAAGTACAAAACAGATTCATTTCTTAAGACGTATATAAAGATTTAATTTCTAACAAATTTTTATTATATTATAACAATTAAAGTCAACTTAAAACATCCTTTTGTAATCTAATTATATTGACCTAGGTATTATTTCAGATAAACATTTTTATTTGATCAAATTAAACTGGCTAAAATATATATTTTTATTATAAATATAACTATAAAAAAACTTACCACAATCAGGAGCTTCCACAACTTGTCCCACCGGACATGCGTAGTCGGACTCAAGGACAAAGACGATGGGTCTGGGACAGTGTTTGGTAAGATATCCCTAACGTCAAATTGTCCTTCTTCCAAAATTAGTTTTCCAAAAGTTCCTTCACTGTAGATCTGTCGTTGGAGTTGGAGTTCACTACTGGATCGCTATAAAATGATTAAAAAAAGTCTTAGTAATTTGCTAACCCTATGATCATATTTAAATACAGAGTGTTTCATAAACATTAGACACTTCCTAAATTTTATTTTTATTTTTTGTAAATAACACATAATTTGTCATAAAAAAAGAGATACCTACGTATCTGCAGCAAAAATTAAGCTTTAGTTTAAGACGTTCTTTTTATTTCATATTTTTTTGTTAATAAATTAATAAACATGATTTATTTTTCTTTCCAGTGGCGTACGATTTTATTCCAAAAAAAAGGTTATCAAAATTTTAAAAAAACTCTGTATAATATAATTTCATGCTTATGTTCTATATTCATATAAAATTAAATAAAACATGAAAACTGTCCTAGAAATAACTAGTCATGCATGAAAAAGAAAATGTATAGTTCTTATCACGCAACTTTTCCCAATATGGTATAAATTAATAGAAATTTTAAATGTCATGTCTGTGTTTGATTTTTTCTTTGATCTAAAAGTTACCATACCTACACAATGTTAAATATTATTATGTCAAAAAGGAGGAAAAGTTATGCAAGAAAAACTATATGCATACGGGAAGAGGAGTGAAAGTGCTTACTTCAATGCCGGGAATGCTATCTCTACCGTGTACATGTCACTGGAAGATTGGCGTCCTTGTCTGTCTGTTCTATAAAGAGAAAGGACATGCTATTCTACACACAATTCTACTCTACGCTCTACACTATATGACGAAAATATAACGATATCTAAACAAATATTACTCTACCTACTATTTTTTTCTTGAAAATTTACTTACTTGTCTACCGGTACACTGGCATCGATAACGTAAGTACCGCCATCTTCCTCTTGGTCCGGTACTTGCCTGGCCTGTCTTCCAGCCCTGTGGTCGCATTTGACGTCGATATTCAGGTCTTTACACTCTCTGGTACCCTCGACAGAGAACGAACAGAAGTTCCAATCCCTAAGAAAAAAAATATATAAACATTATGTTGTTGGTACCGGCAGTCCTCAAAATGTTGGCATTAGTTTTTTTTTTAATTTCAAATAGAAAATATATTTTTTTGTTGTGTTATACAATTTCTTTACCTGTTAAGACTGTTCACAGCGTTCCTGACTTTCTGTCTTAAAACCCCTTGTCCCGCCTCGTTGCACAGCACTGAGCTGGGGAAGAGCATGTTGATCTTGAACACCCTCTGTGCTGGTTTGTATGCTGTAGAAACATTAAAAAATCACTAAAAAATGGTCAAATTTTTTTATTTATACTTACGAGAACAAGCAGGGTAAACCAAAGCTAAATTGGGATTGATATTAGGCCTCCAAAATCCTTCAGCTCCACAGGTATAGAACCTGGGAATATCCTGGGAAAACTTAAGTCCAGAATTGCACCCAATCTCGCACACCTTAAACTGTCCCCCAGCACCCCAATCCTTACAAGTCTGATATCCTCCAATAGGATCGGGTAATTCTGGACAGAACTCTGACAACACCGATACTTTGAAGGTACAGCTAGCGGTGTTGCCGGCTTGATCGCTGGCCACGTAGGCTATCTGGTAGATGCCCCATAAAAGTGTTTGGCCTGGTCGATGTCCGTTGCGCTCTTGCACGCTGGCAACGCCGACGTTGTCACTAAAGTGTGGCTCGTCCCAAGCTACTAGTGCCGATCCGTTTTTGGTTATGATCCAGAGGTCTCCCGGGCAGTATTCCACCTTAGGAGGGATCTTGTCTACTTCCAGGTTCTGGCATTTCGGTCCGGAGTACCCTGCTGGGCAGTTCCTTTGGCCGCAATGCGAGGGAACCACTCTTTCCACTCCTGAAAATGACATAGAACAAATTATTACGAGTATTTAAAAAGATATAGCCAAAAAATACCTCCGACTGTTTCTTCATAACCTGCCCACGTTAAAACGAGTCCCTTGTATAGAACTGGTTCGGTCCTGCAGTCTCGGACTTGTTTCTGGACTTCGTTGGTGACGTCCAGAGCTCTGTTCCAGATCTGAACTTTAGTGAGGTGGCCTTGGAATCCGGATTCGGTATAGGCTTTGGGACTGGTCGATTGGGGTTTGCCCAAGGTGACCCATGCGCTGGAAAAATCATCAAACATTAGTGGATGTTCGTTAAATGAAAGACTTGAGAGTGAAGAATTTTTTTTAGTATACGAAGCTTATGCACCAGGTCTTGTAAAATTGTTTCTATGACTTTTCTCCTGATTAGTTTATCTGATGATAATTATCAAGTAACACATGTCGTTTTTTGCTAAAAGTGGTTTTTATTAAGTTTTATGTCTAATTTTCTTTATAGCATACTGAACAAATAAAAAAAATAATAGAATACAAAAACTATCAAGAATAAATACTTACTGCTCTGGTAGTTTTCTTCCACTGCCATACCCGTCGATTTTACTGGCTATCAGTCCTTCAGTGATCAATTTCAGTTCACCTCCATTTTCTCCATCCCACACGATCGCAATGTGATGCCACTGAGCGTCATTTATGACAGTATAGTCCCTGTAACTCAGGTAAACGTCCTGCAAGTCCTCGAAAATGGACACTTGGACACCGTTCGAGTGAGCCTGGATGATCGGTCTTCTGTTGGCACGTGCCCGGACCACAAAAAATATTTTTAAAAAATATTATATTTTTTGTATTTTTCTTAAACTCACGTGACGCTGTACAAGGTGAAGAAAATACCGTTCTCGTCTTTCTGAGTGAACTGAATCCACATGGCGATGGTGAGGCTTGAAGCTGAGGTGGTGTAGAATGGAACCACTTGCGAAGCTGAGCTCCTGCTAGCGTCGCTGAAGTACAAGTCATAATCCACCGAGATAGCTGTAAAAATGGAGTATTAAGAAAAAAATAAAATAAAAAAAATTAAATTTACTTTTTCTGCAATCCTCTCCAGTTAAATTGAAAGGACATTGACAGTAGAATTTGCCAGTTAGGTCAATGCACGTTGCGCTGGGTGGACACGAGTTTTCTTTACAGTCTACTATATCTTTCTCGCAGTATTTTCCAGTGTATCCTGGCGGACATTGACAGGTAAAACCGAAGATGTTATTGACACAGGTAGCTCCGTTTTTGCACGCCTTGGCTTGGCAAGCGTCGTATTCATATTGACACCCGATACCTTTCAGAAAAATCAAATTAAAAACATCTTTAAATATATTTTTTTGGAATTTTACCAGTGAATCCTTCAGAGCAAGAACAGTTAAGGCCAGAACCGAAATCCTTGCATTTTCCTCCGTGCATACACGGGTTGCCTATGCACCTTTCCGGAGCTGTCTCGCATTGCTTACCATCGGTACCTGTCAATAAAAAAATCATATCTAAAATAAGAAATTTTTAAATATCACAAATTACCTGAAGGACAAACACAGAAATAGTCTTGGAACAAATTAATACACTTTGCGTCATTTTGACATGGTTTTCCTTGACAGTTTCCTATGTCAGATTCACAATTAGTTCCGGTCCATCCTGGTTGACACACGCATTTATAACCACCAACTTCATCCCTACATGATCCTGAAAATGAAAGAAAATTATAAATAAATTATAAAACACTTCAAATAAAAACTTACCTCCATTGAGACATGGATCGCTCTTACAATCATCCATATTTTCCTCACACATCTTTCCACTGTATCCCTCCTTGCACATACAGAAGTATTTGTTATCCAGATCCACGCATTTTTCTGTACCGACAGAGTTACAAGGATCACTCAGGCATTCATCTATTTCAGCTTCACATTGAAGACCAACATAACCTGGCCTGCATTTGCAGCTGAAACCGTCCACCAAATCGGTGCATGTAGCTCCATTTTGACAAGGTTTGGACGAACAAAAGTCTATAGTGTGTTGACAGCGTTTAGCTTGAAATAATAAAAAAAACAATCAGTAAATTAGAAAATTTTGATATAAAAATTAGGGATTTTTTACCGGTATATCCTGGCTCACAGGTACACAAATAATCGTCAACCAGGTA